CATCCTCTAGGAATATAATACATCCTCTAGGAATATAATACATCCTCTAGGAATATAATACATCCTCTAGGAATATAATACATCCTCTAGGAATATAATACATCCTCTAGGTATATAATACATCCTCTAGGAATATAATACATCCTCTAGGAATATAATACATCCTCTAGGAATATAATACATCCTCTAGGTATATAATACATCCTCTAGGAATATAATACATCCTCTAGGTATATAATACATCCTCTAGGAATATAATACATCCTCTAGGTATATAATACATCCTCTACCCTGTCCTGGGATTCAGTTGTATCTGGGTTCGTTCTCTATGGACAGGTTCTATTAACTGCACCCGGTTACCAGGTACACTACAAAGCAGGATCAATGAGTTGGCCACCATCTTTCCTTAAATATTAGAGAAATAACTTTTTTTTTCAGGAAGATAAGCTTGAAATGGGCATTGTCTAATTGAATCAACAACCACAAAAAACACATATCTAAGTTTAGCTTTCTTAACAAACCAGAGAATCAATAGTTATTTATGGTTATTTATCAAAGTTAGCTGGCTAACTCATTGAACCTGCTTTGTAGTAAACCCCTCGGGCTGAGAACTGGCTCTCCAGACCAGACTACTGTAACCCCCTCGGGCTGAGAACTGGCTCTCCAGACCAGACTACTGTAACCCCTCGGGCTGAGAACTGGCTCTCCAGACCAGACTACTGTAACCCCCTCGGGCTGAGAACTGGCTCTCCAGACCAGACCACTGTTGGGCTACGGGCTGGTTTCCTGGATGATGCAAATCCCTTTCATTAATAAGGAGATTAACATTATTAATCTTCTTCACTAATTAAACCAACTAGCATTTCATCACTTCCCTCATCTGAGCTCATTCCTTCACAGATTAGTGGCTGGAGCATCATCAACAACAACAACAACAACAACCCAGAACTAAATGTTGAATGTGCTGACCATGCTAGTTCATAACAGTCTGGCACAAGATACTATCTCTGAAGTAAAATGACGGAAAAAAAGGTGTAAAACATCTGAATGCTGATTGGCTGACAGCCCGTATACCACGGGGTATGACAAAACATTTATTTTTACTGCTCTAATTACGTTGGTAAACGGTTTATAATAGCAATAAGGCCCGAGGGGGTGTAGTATATGGCCAATATACCACGGCTAAGGGCTGTTCTTAAGCACGACGCAACGCGGAGTGCCTGGATATAGCCCTTAGCCGTGGTCTATGTACCACAAACCCCTGAGGTGCCTTATTGCTATTATAAACTTTTTACCAACGTAATTAGAGTATACCACTTTAACTTAAGTATACCACTTTAACTAACAAGTAATCAAGAGCCAGTGTACAATGAATCTCAGAATAAAACCATTTATTATTATTATTATTATTATTATTATTATTATTATTATATAATATTGTACACTGAGCCAGGGTATAGGGCCAGGATTTAGGGCCAGGATTTATGGCCAGGATTTAGGGCCAGGGTATAGGGCCAGGGTATAGGGCCAGGGTATAGCGCCAGGGTATAGGGACAGGGTATAGGGACAGGGTATAGGGCCAGGGTATAGGGCCAGGGTATAGCGCCAGGGTATAGGGACAGGGTATAGGGACAGGGTATAGGGCCAGGTATAGGGACAGGGTATAGGGACAGGGTATAGGTCCACGCTATGGGGCCAGGGTATAGGTCCACGCTATAGGTCCACGGTATAGGTCCACGCTATGGGGCCAGGGTATAGGTCTAGGGTATAGGTCCAGGGTATAGGGCCAGGGTATAACACTTTGATTAAATAAGGAAACCTATATCAATATCTTTGAAAATATAGTATACATATCATTCCCTTTTAAAAACAATTCAATGTTTTATTTTCTCATATTTTGGACCAGAGTGAAGCTACAGTATCTCTCCACTACCTATTGTTCCTGCACTGAGGTCCATGGTATAGGTCCATGGTATAGGTCCATGGTATAGGTCCATGGTATAGGTCCACGTTTCACCATCATCATCTAATGGTTTTATCATTTATTTGCAGATAATCGCCAAAAGGCCTACCCGTATGCAAATGAGGGAGCCAAATGAACGGCTCTCGTACCGATATGATTTTATTCTTATGTCTCTGCGTCCAGTTTAAATAAAGTTGCTAACTAGCATTAGCGCAATGACTTTAAGTCTAAGGTAACTGCTAGCATGCTAGTAGATACTACAGACTTCCAGTAATTGCGCTAACGCTAGTTAGCAACGGCTCGCGAAACTACCTCTAACAACTTCCTTCATTCTGGATGCAGAGACATACAAATGGTATCCATTAGGGTATCTAACCGTAGGAAAGGAGATAAACGGCTTCATTTCCAAAATCCTGAAGAATTCCTTTAACGTCACTGTCTGGCAAGTCCTGATGGCAACATCACTACCTTGGATGATTTATGAATGGCGAGGATGTATGAGATCGGCTTTATTTATTCAGTCAGTTCGAGACCTTTTATAAACTAGTCCAGCTTGCCGTTCGTCAATCAAAGCACAGTAAATAGCCTGTGCGCCACCACTCCGTATCAACATATGAAACACGCCAGGGTTCAACGTTAACTTTTTTTTCTCACTAGCCCGATTGGGCCAGTTGGCCAAAAATCGAACAGAATTTCTACTGGCCCTGACATGGTGTAGGTCTTAAATGCATTGGGGTCATGCAGGACCTATAGGTTGGCATGCTTTTCTCTCTACATATTCAGCTATTAATAGGCTACATTTGATTATCATGATATGTATTAAAAAGCTGTATAATATAAGTTAGCAATGCAAGTCATTACTATATTCCTTGAGAATGACATTGTTTTAATTGCGTTCATTTTTTTTGTTTTTAAAGCATGTCATTGAGAAGATTTGAAAATAGGACTCTGCCCCTTTTTAGACAAACCTTCCAAAAGAGATATGGACATGTCTACAGTAAGCCAGCCGACACTAATGCTAGGTCTCTTTTAGCAGACTATCAACAGTAGCCAGCATATTGCTAGTATGTTCACTATTGAAGGTTTACTGTTGTAAATTACTTTCCCTAAAAGAAATATGCTCAGCGAGTAGATGGTACTTATTTTCACTCTGGACAGCTCCCGCATCAACTCATGTACCGCTCGAGTGCTTGAGAAGTTGAGACTCGAGGGAGTGTGGTGGTGCTTGAATGAACGGCCAGTCATAGCTCAAACACAAATTGCATGACATATACGCATGTAGTCTTCAATGGTTTTCGATGGTAGACTGTGACAGAGCAGGTAGGTGTTGAACTGGAATGCAAAAAATGTGCAGAAAAGTTACTGACGAGATCCTCTGACTCAACATTATGGTGCACGATATCTAAGGAAGTCTCAAGGTTTTGCTCGCCTGAGGTAGAGTATCTCATGATAAGCTGTAGACCACACTATCTACCAAGAGAGTTTTCATCTATATTCTTTGTAGCTGTCTATTTACCACCACAAAGCGATACTGGCACTAAGACCGCACTCAATGAACTGTATACGGCCATAAGCAAACAGGAAAACGCTCATCCAGAGGCGGCGCTCCTGGTGGCCGGGTACTTTGATGCAGGGAAACTTAAATCTGTTTTACCTAATTTCTACCAGCATGTTAAATGTTTAACCAGACGAGCTAAATTACTTCTATGCTCGCTTCGAGGCAAGCAACACTGAAACATGCATGAGAGCATCAGCTGTTCTGGACAACTGTGTGATCACGCTCTCCATAGCCGTTGTGAGTAAGACTTTTAACAGGTCAACATTCACAAGGCCGCAGGGCCAGACGGATTACCAGGACGTGTACTCCAAGATGCGCTGACCAACTGGCAAGTGTCTTCACTGACATTTTCAACCTGTCCCTGTCTGAGTCTGTAATACCAACATGTTTCAAGCAGACCACCATAGTCCCCGTGCCCAAGAACACTAAGGTAACCTGCCTAAATGATTACTGACCCGTAGCACTCACATCTGTAGCCATGAAGTGCTTTAAAAGGCTGGTCATGGCTCACATCAACACCATTATCCCAGAAACCCTAGACCCACTCCAATTTGCATACCGCCCCAACAGATCCACAGATGATGCAATCTCTATTGCGCTCCACACTGCCCTTTCCCACCTGGACAAAAGGAAAACTTATGTGGGAATGCTATTCATTGACTACAACTCAGAGTTCAATACCATAGTGCCCTCAAAACTCATCAGTATATTGGTAGTGTAGTATCTTATCAGTATATTGGTAGTGTAGTATCTTATCAGTATATTGGTATTGTAGTATCTTATCAGTATATTGGTAGTGTAGTGTCTTATCAGTATATTGGTAGTGTAGTATCTTATCAGTATATTGGTAGTGTAGTATCTTATCAGTATATTGGTAGTGTAGTGTCTTATCAGTATATTGGTAGTGTAGTATCTTATCAGTATATTGGTAGTGTCTTATCAGTATATTGGTAGTGTAGTGTCTTATCAGTATATTGGTAGTGTAGTATCTTATCAGTATATTGGTAGTGTAGTATCTTATCAGTGTGTTGGTAGTGTAGTGTCTTATCAGTATATTGGTAGTGTAGTATCTTATCAGTATATTGGTAGTGTAGTATCTTATCAGTGTGTTGGTAGTGTAGTATCTTATCAGTGTGTTGGTAGTGTAGTATCTTATCAGTATATTGTTAGTGTAGTGTCTTATCAGTGTGTTGGTAGTGTAGTATCTTATCAGTATATTGGTAGTGTAGTATCTAATCAGTATATTGGTAGTGTAGTATCTTAGTATCTAACCAGTATCTGGGTAGTGTATAGACGTAGTATGTTAAGGTTCTTACCAGAATCTTGGTGGTGTAGGACCAGTGTGTAATATCATACCAGAATCTTGGTGGTGTAGGACCAGTGTGTAATATCATACAAGAATCTTTGTGGTGTAGGACCAGTGTGTAATATCATACCAGATTCTTGGTGGTGTAGGACCAGTGTGTAATATCATACCAGAATCTTGGTGGTGTAGGCGCTGTTGAGGGAGATGGCATTGACCAGTATGTCCAGTGACTTGGCAGTCAGCGCTCCGGGGTCTGGTATCTCCTTGTAGTGGACGTCTCCCACATAGCACGCCACGGCCGTCATGCGGTTGGTGGTCAGAGTGCCAGTCTTGTCGGAGCAGATGGCCGTAGCGTTGCCCATCGTCTCACACGCATCAAGGTGGCGAACCAGGTTATTATCCTTCATCATTTTCTGTTGAGGAAATATCAACTATGTTGTTGAGGTCTTAGCTTCACAACAAACTCAACAGAAAAGTCGCTAATTAGAACCTAGCCAACTGAACATTCTAAAGTGATATGTTGAACTATGTTGCATATTTGGATACATAGCTACAGATTATTGGATTGCTAAATATAATGCACTGATGAGGAAGCATCCCAGAAGGTTCCCAGAACATTTGTTAGGTCGCGGCACATGTTCTCATAGCACAAAAATTGTCCAGTTGTGGTGATGATTGTAGAATGTTTGTATAAAACATTTGCCTGATGTTTCAAGAACGTTCCTAGAACACATTTAATCACATTTAATAATTGTGATTCAATAATTCTTGAAAGGTTCCCAGAATGTTTCATTAGGTTGTGGGAACAGTCTGGTGAGAATATTGTGGGGACATCACAAAAGATATGTTCTCAAAACATGAAAACGTTCCAACTGTTCGGATGATTCTACAATGTTTCTTTTAGGGTGCAAAAATATTCACCTGATGTTACAAGAATGTTCCCAGAACACATTTAGTCAGTTCTTTAAAGGTTATCAGAATGTTTTGTTAGGTTGTGTGAACAGTCTGGTGGGAACAATGTGGGGACATCACAAAAGTTATGCTCCCAAAACACAAAGTCTGTCCAGTTGAGGGAATGATTCTACAATGTTTCTTTTAGGGTGGAAAAATATTCATCTGATGTTACAAGAACGTTCCCAGAACACATTTAATCTGTTCTTTAAAGGTTCCCAGAATGTTTCATTAGGTTGTGGCAACATTCTGTGGACATGACAATAAAGATGTTCTCAAAACACAAAAACTGTCTATTTGTGCTGATTAATTCAATGTTTCTATGAGGTTGCAAAAAACTTTTGCCTGATGTTGCAAGAACATTCCCAGAACAAAGTTTTATGTTCTTCAAAAGTTCCTAAAACATTTATTTAGGTAGTGGGAACATTGTGGGGATATGACAAGAGACTAGTTCCCAAAACACTAAAACTGTTTAGTTGTGCTGACATTCAGAAAAAGTTTGTGTCAGGGTGCACAAAACATTAATTTGATGTTACAAGAATGTTGACATAACAGCCTTTCTGAGGACTTTAAAGGTTCCCAGGACATTTAATTAGGTTATGGGAACAATGTGGGTACATTACAAGAGATAGGTTCCCAAAACACAAAATATGCTCAGTTGTGATGACATTCATACAATGCTTAAGTTAGGTAGCACAGCACATTTCCTTAATGTTGTAAGAATTAAATGTCCGTTTTTATGACGTTCATAGCATATTTGTTTTAGGTTCAACATAATATTACTTTGATGTTTACACAATATACATTTTACCTTGTCTTTGAGGTCCCCAGAACAGTTCAAGAACATTTAGAAAATGTTATATTTAAGTTTTACCAAATATTATAAAGAAAACAGATAGGAATACATCCCCATGATGCTTCACTCCAGATTTAATGTCAATTCACATTTGAAGAATGTATTGTAGGTGATATAGAGGTATATGGCATTTTTATTTCATTCACAGGACATTTGAACAGCATTTAATCATACAAACTTTTTACACTTCATATGTTGACAATCTGCACAAGTGGGGATGGAACCTGCAATGTTTTGTTTCCAAATCATTAACCCTCTGCATCACCAGGGGATAGTTGTTTTGAAAAGGTTTTTAAAAAAGAATCGTATTACCTCTATATCACCTACAATACATTCTTCAAATGTGAATTGACATTACATCTGGAGTGAAGCATCATGGGGATGTATTCCTATCTGTTTTCTTTATAATATTTGGTAAAACTTAAATATAACATTTTCTAAATGTTCTTGAACTGTTCTGAGGACCTCAAAGACAAGGTAAAATGTATATTGTGTAAACATCAAAGGAATATTATGTTGAACCTAAAACAAATATGCTATGAAGGTTTGAAGGTTCTGAGTCTGTATTTAAGAAGCATATCAATACAATATGATGATCATATCAATACACAGGAATACTAATTATTTAAAGGACACCGCCTATAAAGAGGATACAGTGTTATATGGACACAGCATATCAAGAGGATGGGGACATTTTAATAACTCAGAAATTGCGTTCAGTTTCCTGATGACCATATTTGACTAAAAAAGAAACACACAAGGCCACAGCTATCCCCACAGAGAGTTAATTATCTGGCTGCAGTTCCGAAGATTGCAGGTTAAATTCCATAAATTCTACAACCATGTTTCATAAAAATAAAAAATAAAATGAAATTGAGGCTCAGATATACTCTACTAAAGGAGAGGATATACAGATGTTTAAATCCAGTCAGAAATGCAACTGTAAAAAAATAATAATAACATTGTGTAAAAATGTACTGTACAACTTTAAAAAACACACCCAATATAATTCCTACTTTGAGACGCTTGATATGGTCCCCTCTGGCTTATTTTTCATGATCTGAACAGCAAAAGTGATCCTAGATCAATGCTCATAGTCTTGGATACCTTGTGAATATGGCCCCAGAAGCAGACAGCATATAAAGAGGATGGGTGAAGTGACGGTGAATAACCCAGTTACCAGTATATCCCTGGGTTAGTGATGTCTAAGAAGGCTTAAAAAAAGGAAGCATGGAATTCCTGATTACTGGATACACGAATACAGCTATGGCTATTCTGTATACTGAATACAGCTATGGCTATACTGTATACTGAATAAAGACGATGAATGAGAGCGTCCCTGATGGTGCAGAGGATAAAACATTGCAGGTTCAAACCCCACATGCGCAGATTGTCAACATATGACGTCTAGAAAACAATATGGTTGTTTGTATGACTAAATGCTGTTCAAATGTCCTATGAATGAAATTAAAATGCCATGTCACTCTATCACCTACAACACAGTCCTCAGATGAGAACTGCCATTACATCTGGGGAGAAATGGAACGGGGGTGTAATCCAATCTGCTTAATTTGCATGCTGAGAATGTTGTGGGAATATAAAAATATAAATAAAACATGTTCTAAATGTTCTTGAACTGTTCTGAGGACCTCCAAGTCAAGGCAAAATGTACGATGCATTAACATCAATGGAGTATTATGTTAAACGTAAAACAAATATGCTATGAACTTCATAAAAACAGACGTATTTAATTCTTACAACATTAAGTAAATGTGTTATGCTACCTAACTTATGAATTTCATCACAACGGAGCATATTTTGTGTTTTGGGAACCTATCTCTTGTAATGTACCCACACTGTTACCACAACCTAATGAAACATTCTGGGAACCTTTAAAGAACAGACTAAATGTGTTTTGGGAACGTTCTTGTAACACCAGGTGAATGTTTTTGCACACTAAAAGAAACACTGTTGAATCATCCGCACAACTGGACAGTTTTGATATGTTGGGAACATATATTTTATGATGTCCCCACAACGTTCCCACCAAACTGTTCCCACAACCTAATGAAACATTCTGGGAACCTTTTAAAGAACAGATTAAAAGCTTTATAGGAACATTCTTGCAACATCAGGCAAATGTTTTATTCAAACATATTCACTTTTTGGGGAATGTTCTGCTGTGGTTGTTCCAAGGATATTTCATCTAAAACATCTTTGATAAATAAGTACATTTTATCAAAAACATTCCTTTGGGATGTTATCATCCTAATGTTAGATAAAACCCTGCTATGATGAGTTTATCTGGTATCAAGTAATTCATGATCCAAAAAGATATTTAACACTTAGATGGAGAGTTGATGCAAATATGTTAATAGATACGGTACCGGGTTTGTATAACAAACGGCATGTGCTTTGCCTGTTGTCATCCGAACTCTGGACAAAGGAAATCTCTCAGTTTATATACTTAATGTTACACGTTTCTTCAATAACATCTGGTAACCATCAGTGGGCACCCCCCACTCTGATGGTATCACCCTGTACCCAAGTCAGTATATTCCATCTATCAATCATTCTAAGATAAACCCCAGTAAGCTCCCTCGACATACTGGAATCCTTAGCATTCAGACTCTGTGGGAACTCTCTTCCTGGTTTACTGGGATCATTCTCATCATTCTCACGATTCCAATCCTTTGACACTTCTAATTGGTCAGAAATAAAATATAAGACAAAAGGTTTTAAAAAATGTACATGTGGCAACTTGACAGAGTAGGCCAGGGAGATGGTGACGGCCAGGGATATGTGTGTTTACCTTGACAGAGTACGCCAGGGAGATGGTGACGGCCAGGGATATGTGTGTTTACCTTGACAGAGTAGGCCAGGGAGATGGTGACGGCCAGGGATATGTGTGTTTACCTTGACAGAGTAGGCCAGGGAGATGGTGACGGCCAGGGATATGTTTGTTTACCTTGACAGAGTAGGCCAGGGAGATGGTGACGGCCAGGGGCAGCCCCTCAGGTACAGCCACCACCAGCACGGTGACACCGATGATGAAGAACTTGACAAAGTACTGGACATAGATGGGGGTGCACTCCGTCAGCCACGGCCTCTTCTGCAGGACAAAGTTGTCCACAGCAAAGTACAGCACGAGGATGATCACTGTGATGGCTGACATCACCAGACCTGGATGGACAAGGACAAGGAGAAAATTACTCTACTCTATTCTACTCTATTCTACTGTATTCTACTGTACTGTACTGTACTGTACTCTACTCTACTCTACTCTATTCTACTCTATTCTACTCTATTCTACTGTACTCTATTCTATCTATTGTATTCTACTGTATTCTATTCTACTCTATATTCTGTGCTCTACTCTACTCTACTCTACTCTACTCTACAGTACTCGACTCGACTCTACTCTACAGTACTCGACTCGACTCGACTCGACTCGACTCGACTCGACTCGACTCGACTCTACTCTACACTACTCTACTCTACTCTACTCTACTCTACTCTACTCTACTCTATTCTACTGTATTCTATTCTACTCTATCTTCTGTGCTCTACTCTGCTCTACTCTGCTCTACTCTACAGTACTCTATTCTACTATATTCTACTCTACTCTACTCTGCTCGGCTCGGCTCGGCTCGACTCGACTCGACTCGACTCGACTCGACTCGACTCGACTCGACTCGACTCGACTCGACTCGACTCGACTCGACTCGACTCGACTCGACTCGACTCGACTCGACTCGACTCGACTCTACTCTACTCTACTCTACTCTACTCTACTCTACAGTACTCTACAGTACTCTATTCTACTCTACAGTACTCTACTCTACTCTACTCTACTCTACTCTACTCTGCTCTGCTCTACTCTACTCTACTCTACACTACTGAACAGGTGAAAGTGCAAGATGCATGGCTTGTTTAACTTGATATCAAATTTATTTCAGCTTTCAACTTCACAAATCAACAGCAGCAGTGCATTAACTATGTATCTCTGTGATTCCACATATACCAATTACTCCTACATTTACTTCTGCCAGTGGTATGTTCTCCCTATTTCATCTCAGAATGTCATTGTGATATGATTTACTGCCACATTGAGATAAATAATTGATCATATATTGAGTGATCTGACAAACCTTTTTTTATTTTTTATAGAGATAAAACATTGATCATATTGATTGATCTACATCACCTGCTTTGCTTATTGATGATAGATTATATCATATTGATTGATCCTGCCGTACCTGCTTTGCCGATCTGAACAGCCAGCTTGGTCAGTTTCCCCTGGAGGACAGACTTCTCTTTTTTGGAGACGTTTGTTTTCTTCTTCTCCTTCTCCTCCATCTCTCCTCCCTCTGCACTCTTTAGAGGCTGCATCTCCATGGCAGCCGCTCCGTCCTGCTTCTTCACTGAAACAACCAGAGGAACACAGAGACATTGTGAATTATGGGATCAGGGCCTTCCCTAGTCTTTTAGGGGCGAGATTTAGTTGGGGGGGGGGGGGGGTCTGTTGACGGCAGAGAGGAAAATGTACGGTTTAAAGTTAATTTCCTGCTGTTCTACTAATTTTACCATATGAGAAGAAGTTGCAGTTTTAAAGCAAGTTTTCTGCATTTCTATACATTTTGCAATTCTATAAAAAAATGTCATGTAATTCTACTAATTTTTAACCTCTTAAGGATCGGACCCTTTTTTAAAATTTTTGCCTAAAATGAAGCATGGAGGAGGTGTGATGGTGTGGGGGTGCTTTGCTGGTGACACTGTCTGTGATTTATTTAGAATTCAAGGCACACTTAACCAGCATGGCTACCACAGCATTCTGCAGCGATACGCCATCCCATCTGGTTTGCGCTTAGTGGGACTATCATTTTTTTTCTTCTACAGGACAATGACCCAAAACACACCTCCAGGCTCTGTAAGGGCTATTTGACGAAGGATAGTGATGGAGTGCTGCATTAAATGACCTGGCCTCCATAATCACCCGACCTCAATCTAATTGAGATGGTTTGGGATGAGTTGGACCGTAGAGTGAAGGAAAAGCAGCCAACATTTTAGGCTAACTGCCTGTAGCTCAGGACCTGAAGCAAGGATATGCATATTCTTGATACCATTTGAAGGAAACACTTTGAAATTTGTATAAATGTGAAATTAATGTAGGATAATATAACACATTAGATCTGGTAAAAGATAATACAAACAAAAAAACATGCATTTTCTCAAATTGTTTGGGTTCCATCATCTTTTAAATGCAATTGAAAAGGCCACAATATAATATTGCAGTTTAGGTGCAATTTAGATTTTGGCCATTAGATGGCAGCAGTGTGTGTGCAATGTTTCAGATTGATCCAGTGAAGCATTGCAATACTGGACTATTTTGTATCAAGTCTGCACAAATGTGCCGAATTAGTAAATTGATACTTTTTCAAATATATAACTATAGAGAACATATAAAAATGATATGGTAATACAAAATGTAAGTTTACACACTCCCAGAAATGTCATACATGAATGATCATTAGCTTATACACTAACTTTCACACATCTAGATGGCTGGGCGGGGTGGGTGTGGAGCCAGAGACGGCAGGGGTTCAAACTGTAGAACCAGTTCCTACATTTGAATATAAAAATGGATTTTATCAAACAAAACTATGCTACATTTTATGTCTGGGATCGTTAGGATGACAAATCAGAGCAAGATTACTGAATGTAAGTACATTATTTACCTTCAGAGGTGAATGTATCAAACCAGTTGCCGTGATAAGTTTGTTGTTGTTGTACATTCTCCTCAAACAATAGCATGGTATTTTTTCAATGTAATGTCAACTGTAAATTGGACAGTGCAGTTAGGTTAACCTCTATGGGATCGGTGTCCCCTATACGGGACGGTTGAGCTAACATGCGCTAATGTGATTAGCATGACTGTTGTATGTAACAGCAAACTTTCCAGGACATAGACATGTCTTACATGGGCAGAAAGCTTAAATTCTTGTTAATCTAACTGCACTGTCCAATTTACACCAATTTACAGATCTCAACATCAACTGTTCAGAGGAGACTTCGTGAATCAGGCCTTCATGGTCGAATTGCTGCAAAGAAACCACTACTAAAGGACACCAATAATAATAAGAGACTTGCTTGGGCCAAGAAACACGAGCAATGGACATTAGACCGGTGGAAATGTGTCCTTTGGACTGATGAGTCCACATTGTAGATTTTCGGTTCCAACCGCCTTGTCTTTGTGAGACGCAGAGTAGGTGAATGGATGATCTCCGCATCATGTGTGGTTCCCACCATGAAGCATGGAGGAGGAGGTGTGATGGTGTGGGGGTGCTTTTCTGGTGACACTGTCTGTGATTTATTTAGAATTCAAGGCAATACGCCATCCCATCTGGTTTGCGCTTAGTGGGACAATAATTTTTTTTCTACAGGACAATGACCCAACACACCTCCAGGCTGTGTAAGGGCTATTTGAGCAAGGATAGTGATGGAGTGCTGCATCACATGACCTGGCCTCCATAATCACCCGACCTCAACCCAATTGAGATGGTTTGGGAAGAGTTGGACCGCAGAGTGAAGGAAAAGCAGCCAACAAGTGCTCAGCATATGTGGGAACTCCTTCAAGGCTGTGGGAAAAGCATTCCAGGTGAAGCTGGTTGAGAGAATGCCAAGACTGTGCAAAGCTGTCATTAAGGCAAAGGGTGGCAACTTTGAAGAATCTAAAATCTTAAATATATTTTGATTTGTTTAACACTTTTTTTTGGTTACTACATGATTCCATATGTGTTATTTCATAGTGTTGATGTCTCCACTATTATTCTACAATGTAGAAAATCCCTGGAATGAGTAGGTGTGTGCGAACTTTTGACTGTTAGTATATATATATATACGTCATTTTGCAGACACTCTTATCCAGAGCAACTTACAGGAGCAATTAGGGTTAAGTGCCTTGCTCAAGGGCACATCGACAGATTTTTCACCTAGTCGGCTCGGCGATTAGAACCAGCGACCTTTCGGTTACTGGCACTACACTCTTAACCACTAAGCTACCTGCCGCCCATATATATATATATTTTTTTTATACACTACATGGTCAAAAGTAGGTGGACACCTTTTCAAATGAGTAGATTCCTCTATTTCAGCCACACCCGTTGCTGACAGGTGTATAAAATCGAGTAAACAGCCATGCAATCTCCATAGACAAACACTGGCAGTAGAATGGCTTGTACTGAAGAGCTCAGTGACTTTCAACGTGACACCGTCATAGAATGCCACCTTTCCAACAAGCGCGTAGCACGTAAAAATTGTCTGTCCTCGGTTACAACACAAACTACCGAGTTCCAAACGGCCTCTGGAAGCAAAGTCAGCACAATAACTGTTTGTCGGGAGCTTCAAGAAATGGGTTTCTATGGCTGAGCAGCCGCACACAAGCCAAAGATTGTGCCCAAGATTTTTCACCTAGTGTGCCCAAGAACTCTAAGATAACCTGCCTAAATGACTACCGACCCGTAGCACTGACGTCTGTAGCCATGAAGTGCTTTGAAAGACTGGTCATGGCTCACATCAACAGCATAATCCCAGAAACCCTAGACCCACTCCAATTTGCATACCGCCCCAACAGATCCACAGATGATGCAATCTCTATCGCACTCCACACTGCCCTTTCCCACCTGGACAAGAGGAACACCTACGTGAGAATGCTATTAATTGACTACAGCTCAGCATTCAACACCATAGTGCCCTCTAAGCTCATCACTAAGCTAAGGATCCTGGGACTAAACACCTCCCTCTGCAACTGGATCCTGGACTTCCTGACGGGCCGCCCCCAGGTGGTAAGGGTAGGTAACAACACATCTGCCACACTGATCCTCAACACGGGGGCCCCTCAGGGGTGCGTGCTCAGTCCCCTCCTGTACTCTCTGTTCACCCATGACTGCATGGCCAGGCACGACTCCAACACCATCATTAAGTTTGCCGACGACACAACAGTGGTAGGCCTGATCACCGACAACGATGAGACAGCCTATAGGGAGGAGGTCAGAGATCTGGCCGTGTGGTGTCAGGACAACAACCTCTCCCTCAACGTGACCAAGACAAAGGAGATGATTGTGGACTACAGGAAAAAAAAGAGGACTGAGCACGCCCCCATTCTCATCGACGGGGCTGTAGTGGAACAGGTTGAGAGCTTCAAGTTCCTTGGTGTCCACATCACCAACGAACTATCATGGTCCAAACACACCAAGACAGTCGTGAAGAGGGCACGACAAAGCCTATTCCCCCTCAGGAGACTAAAAAGATTTGGCATGGGTCCTCAGATCCTCAAAAAATTCTACAGCTGCACCATCGAGAGCATCCTGACTGGTTGCATCACCGCCTGGTATGGCAACTGCTTGGCCTCTGACCGCAAGGCACTACAGAGGGTAGTGCGTACGGCCCAGTACATCACTGGGGCCAAGCTTCCTGCCATCCAGGACCTCTATACCAGGCGGTGTCAGAGGAAGGCCCTCAAAATTGTCAAAGACTCCAGCCACCCTAGTCATAGACTGTTCTCTCTGCTACCGCATGGCAAGCGGTACCGGAGTGCCAAGTCTAGTTCCAAAAGACTTCTCAACAGCTTCTACCCCCAAGCCATAAGACTCCTGAACAGCTAATCATGGCTACCCGGACTATTTGCACTGCCCCCCCACCCCATCCTTTTTACGCTGCTGCTACTCTGTTAAGTATTTATGCATAGTCACTTTAACTCTACCCACATGTACATATTACCTCAACTACCTCAACTAGCCGGTGCCCCCGCACATTGACTCTGCAACAGTACCCCCCTGTATATATAGCCTCCCTACTGTCACTTTATTTTACTGTATATATAGCCTCCCTACTGTCACTTTATTTTACTTCTGCTCTTTTTTCCTCAACACTTTTTTTGTTGTTGTTTTATTCTTACTTTTTTTGTTTAAAATAAATGCACTGTTGGTTAAGGGCTGTAAGTAAGCATTTCACTGTAATGTCTGCACCTGTTGTATTCGGCGCATGTGACCAATACAATTTTATTTTATTTTATTTTATTTGATTTGATTACCATACGCAATGCCAAGCGTCGGCTGGAGTGGTGTAAAGCTCGCCGCCATTGGACTCTGGAGCAGTGGAAACGCGTTCTCTGGAGTGATGAATCACGCTTCACCATCTGGCAGTCCGACGGATTAATCTGGGTTTGGCGGATGCCAGGAGAACGCTACCTGCCCCAATGCATAGTGCCAACTGTAGTTTGGTGGAGGAGGAATAATGATCTGGGGCTGTTTTTCATGGTTCGGGCTAGGCCCCTTAGTTCCAGTGAAGGGAAATCTTAACATACAGCATACAATGACATTCTAGATGATTCTGTGCTTCCAACTTTGTGGCAACAGTTTGGGGAAGGACTTTATAAGTTCAGTGCTATTTATTTTATATTAAATGATTTTATAGTCAAAAGAATATAACTGAATTTAGCTGAATAAAATGGAAAATATATTTTTCCAATTCCAGAACAAGTGCGCATTAAAAGTGGCTAAATTGAGCATAAAAGTGATAATTTGAAACAGGTCCTAGATGCTAGATTTAGGAGTTATTTTGTTGTGAATGATACAAACATTAGAAAGTCTTACAAATCAAAAGATATATAGGCTATTGATGATTTGAGAAAGTCACAAAAAAAAACACAGAATCGTCTAAAATGTCATTGCCTCAGGCTGCAAAGCTGTTCTCTCATCAAGTGATCATATTTTCACCCATCAGACTATTCTAAATGTAATCTCTACTAAAATGTCAAATTAGTTTAGATTTAGAATGGCCCATTATCACAGGGCAGGAGAATAATGTCAGCACTCGAATAGCGAACGGAGGCCGCGCGCTTTCCTGCGGGTCAGTTTTCCAATTATGCCTGGTAGGCTACTTCGGTTTTGTAGTGTAGTATCTGAAAGTCTATGATTTTGCTGACATTTGCAAATGGTGTAATAGATGAACTTTACTCTGCTTTGCTGAAACATCTGGAAAGCATTACTACATAGGCTTCTTGGAATAGAGGACATTTGGAGATATGGGGAGGCCAGGGATTGGTCTATCAAAAACCACCCATCTTATGTTACATAGGATATAAATACCATGTTTTAAACAAAGGACAGGGAGGAACAACATATTAAGAGATTGGGCCGTTGTTCTCCAGATATTCTGCAGAAGTCTGTAAATTGACGCTGAAATCTTTTGATATAATAAACTTTTATAATCAAAGTACAGTCCTTGTTCTCACAGCATAATTAGCATCGTTGTCTCAACAGCATAATCAGCATTGTTGTCTCGACAGCATAATCAGCATCGTTGTCTCAACAGCATAATCAGCATCGTTGTCTCGACAGCATAATCAGCATCGTTGTCTCGACAGCATAATCAGCATCGTTGTCTCGACAGCATAATCAGCATCGTTGTCTCGACAGCATAATCAGCATCGTTGTCTCGACAGCATAATCAGCATCGTTGTCTCAACAGCATAATCAGCATCGTTGTCTCGACAGCATAATCAGCATCGTTGTCTCAACAACATAATCAGCATCGTTGTCTCGACAGCATAATCAGCATCGTTGTCTCGGACAGCATAATCAGCATCGTTGTCTCGGACAGCATAATCAGCATCGTTGTCTCGACAGCATAATCAGCATCGTTGTCTCGACAGCATAATCAGCATCGTTGTCTCGACAGCATAATCAGCATCGTTGTCTCGGACACTACAGTAGCGGAGCTGTGGTTAATATGAGCAGCTGAGAAATAAATAGAAGAACACTTATTTCACTCCACGCATCAACCACTGTTTGAGGAGCAAAATGCTCTCGCTGCATGACAGGTGATATTCCACCCAAACTCTGTATGCGTGTAACTCTGTAGGCTCTCCAACCCTGTTCCTGCAGAAACCCAGTGCTTAATTTGGGAAACCAAGTGAAATCTGTTCGGGAACATCGATAGTAACATGTTTTCGCAATGACACATTAAACTGTTGACAGCCCGTCTGCGCGCTCGAGAAATGAATAAAGAGAGAGAGAGGAGATCGAAACGCATGAGATATTCTGTGTCACCCAATTAATTATGAAAATTAAAATTAAAATTCACTATAATTGTAAGCTGCCCAGCGCAATCAATGAACCACAGCATCCTCTAGGGCTATACCGTTCTCTCCCAGACTCATGTATAGACATTTGGGAGAGTAGCAGAAGGTAACCAGTCCATCCAGTGTGCATATTAATAAAGTCCACACTCAAAGGCGATTACTAGAATGTGTTTAATTTTGAGTATAGGCTAGACTAATTATTACACTTTAGTCATTTAGCAGACGCTCTTATCCAGAGCGACTTACAGTTAGTGAATGCATACGTATTTATATTTTTTATTTTTTTCATACTGACCCCCGTGGGAAACAAACCCACATCCCTGCCGGCCAAACCCTCCCCTACCTTGGACGACACTGGACCAATTGTGCACCACCCCATGGGTCTCCCGGTTGCGACAGAGCCTGGACTCGAACCAGGATCTCTAGTGGCACAGCTAGCACTGCGATGCAGTGCCTTAGACCACCACTGCCACTCGGGAATTATGTACCAAAGACATCTTAAATCAGTTTTGTTTTATGTTTTTTCTAGCATGTGTAATAAGCGGTAGGCTAGGTATGATGTCAGAGTGGTTGGAGGGACAATAGGGCCCTGAGTACCAGTCAATTAGCGACCTGATGACCTTTAGCAAATTGGGTTCTACCAAAGCATGCCCAGAGTGCATAAGAGGAGATTACCGTGACTCAACGGTCACATGGAATTTTACTGTGATCATGACTCATGACTGCTGGTGTGGCGGTAATACGGTCAGGGGGCCCCCTAGCAACTAGAGGCCCTAAGCAACCTCTTAACGTCGCTTTTGCTTGTAGCCGGCCCTGTATGGGATGTCCCTGTGGTCTGCTCTATATCGGAAAGACCACAACTTAGGTTGGTCCTGTGGCCTATTCTATATGGGGAAACACCACGAGCTGTGTTCGAATACACATCATAACATACTGTATACTACATACTTAATGAGTACATACTACATACTATATACTATTGGTTAATTTTAGTATACTGTAAACAAACGGTATCCTTTCAGCTCCGCCTGTCTACCGGAAGTTGATGCCGTTGCTAGGCAACCTCTTGCTAGCTTGTTAGCACAACAAATGACTAGCTAGACATATTACAATTTTGGGTGTCTTCGTAAATTCAATCTGGAGTGCCAGAGTGCGCAGATCCAGAGTGTTGTCAGATTGCCCCTTGGTAAACTCCGAGCGTTTCGCTCTCGGAGCGCACACTGGACACTCTGGCCGAGGAGTAGGGTTGATCCGAGCGTTTCGCTCTCGGAGCGCACACTGGACACTCTGGCCGAGGAGTAGGGTTGATCCGAGCGTTCTGACCCTAACAGCAGTCGAGCACCCAAGCTAACTGGTTAACGTTGGCTAGCTTGCTAGCTACTTTCAGACACAAATGAGAGAACAGCTCACTCTGACCATTTTACTCGCCCTAGCAGAGCTGGTTAGGCTGTTTTCATGTTATCCAGAGCATTGGTGACTGTAACTGTGCTGCTGGCAACAATTTAATTACACTTGTTTTTGCCGATGTTTACTGACACCGGCCATATTCAACGGGTGTTGAGCGTTCGTAAATGTATCAGTTATTCTGCGCTCTGGGACACTCAGACGAATGTCCATTGAGAACTCACAACGACTATACCACTTAGCTAAAAATGACGTGAATAATCAAATCAATAAACGTTGGGTAGTTAGTTAGATCATAGTTAATATACCGCCTGGCAAGTTCGATGTATTAGTAGCCAACTAACGTTACTTAGGATGGTAACTAGCTAACATACCGGTACATACTGTAATGCTATGCAGTTCATAAGGATAGCGTAGCTAACAAATTGTCAGCCAACATAAGGTGTAGCGTAACTTGTTTGAAAAGTCATTACTTTATTACATTGCTCAACATTTTCTTAACATTTATCATAATTAGTTAAAGCAATGCATTTGTATCAGCTCTCGTCAGACTTCAGCTGCGTATTTTCCCACCATTTTCTTCTAATCTGAAAACGTTGTGAAGCCACGCCCATTTTCTGAAGAATTGCATTATGGGCCCTAAAAGCACGGAAATAGTGTCCACTGCTTGTATACTTCGTATTTTGGCAAATTTATTACGACATCCGGGAACTTTTGGCATACTAACTATATCCACACTATGACCAATAAGCATCCTAAATACTCAATTTACGTCACAAATAGTACGGTTAGTGCGGTTAGTATGAGTATTCGAACACAGCTCACAACTTAGGCTGGTCCTGTGGTCTGTTCTATATAGGAAGGACCACAACTTAGGCTGGTCCTGTGGTCTGTTCTATATATGAAAAACTACAGCTAAGGCTGGTCCTGTGGTCTGTTCTATATAGGAAAGACCACAACTTAGGCTGGTCCTGTGGTCTGTTCTATATAGGAAGGACCACAACTTAGGTTGGTCCTGTGGTCTGTTCTATATAGGAAAGACCACAACTTAGGCTGGTCCTGTGGTCTGTTCTATATAGGAAGGACCACAACTAAGGCTGGTCCTGTGGTCTGTTCTATATAGGAAAGACCACAACTTAGGCTGGTCCTGTGGTCTGTTCTATATAGGAAAAACCACAACTTAGGCTGGTCCTGTGGTCTGTTCTATATAGGAAAGACCACAACTTAGGTTGGTCCATCCATTCAGGTGATACAGAACAGATATACAACCAACATATTGCATACCAGTGGTGTGTCTCGTGTAGCTCAGTTGGTACAGCATGGCGTTTGCAACGCCGGGGTTGTGGCTTCGATTCCCACGGGGGGCCAGTATGAAAATGCATGCACTCACTAACTGTAAGTCGCTCTGGATAAGAGCGTCTGCTAAAATGACTAAAAATGCCCAACAGAGACAGCTGTGGGATATTCTGCAGTAGATCTTCAACCACCATACATACCAGTGGTGTGTCCAACAGAGACAGCTGTGGGATATTCTGCAGTAGATCTTCAATACATTTATATTTTCATTGGTTCTAACGTTCCACCGCAACTGTCTGAAGCGGTGATCATTCTAGTTAAGTGAACTAGTCAGTAAAAACATGTGTAGTTCACCATTCTAAAGCAAAAATGCACCTTTTCAAATAAGATGAAAACACCAAGAGAGTTTGAAAGAGGGTTGTTGCTCAGAAGATCAGGGATAGTCATACTTTAGACAGGGGAAAACACATCAACAAAAGACTGTTCTGATCAGGTTACTAAGAAACATAATCATTGTTGTCCAAGGGTTAAAAGATACCGCTCACAACAGTCAATCCACATCCTTTCTACAGTCATGTATTGTTCATTCCATCAATTCGGTGCGTTTTGAAAATTTTAACTTCCATCTCAATAGGTAAAAAAAATTATATATACTATAGTTAGTGCCAAATAAAGTAACAAGGTTGACCGTAACAGGGTTGACAATTTCTTGTTAAATCAGCCATAAACCCCCCCCCCCCCCCTGCTTTGAGCCCTAGTGCAATACCCTGTACAGCCCTGTCACCTGACCTGTTAACAATACCCTGTACAGCCCTGTCACCTGACCTGTTAACAATACCCTGTACAGCCCTGTCACCTGACCTGTTAACAATACCCTGTACAGCCCTGTCACCTGACCTGTTAACAATACCCTGTACAGCCCTGTCACCTGACCTGTTAACAATACCCTGTACAGCCCTGTCACCTGACCTGTTAACAATACCCTGTACAGCCCTGTCACCTGACCTGTTAACAATACCCTGTACAGCCCTGTCACCTGACCTGTTAACAATACCCTGTACAGCCCTGTCACCTGACCTGTTAACAATACCCTGTACAGCCCTGTCACCTGACCTGTTAACAATACCCTGTACAGCCCTGTCACCTGACCTGTTAACAATACCCTGTACAGCCCTGTCACCTGACCTGTTAACAATACCCTGTACAGCCCTGTCACCTGACCTGTTAACAATACCCTGTACAGCCCTGTCACCTGACCTGTTAACAATACCCTGTACAGCCCTGTCACCTGACCTGTTAACAATACCCTGTACAGCCCTGTCACCTGACCTGTTAACAATACCCTGTACAGCCCTGTCACCTGACCTGTTAACAATACAGAGTAGAGAGAGAGAGAGAGAGAGAGACTCAACATTAGATGAACCTTATAGACTCAACGTTAGGGGAATGTTAGAGGAATGTTTTGAGCTAGGGTTGCAAAAATTCCGATAACTTTCCCCAAAATTCCTAGGTGTTTCCAGAAGTCCTGGTCGGAAAATTCCTTTAATCAGAAAGGAATAAGCAGAAAATCTGGAATCCTCCAACCAGGATTTCTGGAAAACCTAGGAATTTTGGGAAAGTTACCGGATTTTTTGCAACCCTAGTTAGAGCACATCCAAACCAAACCATGGGGGGAAGTTGAAAATAGGTTACCTTTAGTCTGGTTGTTCTCCATATTCACATCCTGTATTTTACCTACGATGGAGACATACGGAGACACAGAACAAAAAGAACCAAAGCTGACAGTAAACAACCAATCATCACCAGGACAAACATTACAATGAAATGAAAAGGAAAACCGTCAAATGAAATATTTATTGAACATCGTCATGACAGTCACATACATAACAGAACAGCTGCTTTTTTTTTAATGAGGTAGATTCTACTTCAGGGGATGGTAATTTGGATGTCTGCAAATGTTTCCAATTTGTACTGTTGTGTGTGTGTGTATATGTCTGGGCTTGCTAACGCCTCAAAAACTATTAGAAATAATGTCAATCGAAATAGATAATAGACAATACAACCTGATTTGAAAATAATGTGACTATGCAGTCAATTAGGAAATGTCATGTTTTGAAAGGTTGCTTAGGGCACTAGAAAATAATAAAATAGATATAATTGAAATCATTTTTCTAAAGGGTATTTAATAATTGCTTTAACAACACAGTGCAAACTGAAGTAAGTAACTTTGTATTTCTGTTTCTGTCTGGCCGTGGGAGTGTTGGATGGATACAGTCCAAGCTTCTATATACATTTACTTCAATGGAATTCAAAAGTGATTTGAGTGTGATGCAACTAGTGGATTCAAGTTCTGTCAATCACTTGATGTTAAACTGTACTTGAATAACTACAAGACCTATGCTATCACGGCTCAGATTTCCTCTCTATTGATCGGTGTGTTCATTTTGAAGAGTGACACACTCACATGCAGACTACAGTGAATTCCACACATCAACAGTACACATTTCATGAGGCGTCAAGACACAGAATCACAGGGTTAACACACACACACACACACACACACACACACACACACACACACACACACACACACAGCACAGCGAGGAGCAACACACACACACACACACACACACACACACACACACACACACACACACACACACACACACACACACACACACACACACACACACACACCCACACACAGGACCAACAAAGAGCATGCAGTGTAACAGTGAGGTCAGAATCCTCATGCAAGGTCAGACCGAGGGAAAAGGGAGAGGAATTGAATGCTGGGGAGAAAGAAAAGACTATAGGAAAGAAATCCTCCCACAAAGACAGATTTCTATAAAGGAAGAACAGGGTTTCTGATGGAGCCCTGCAAGGGTCTGATAGATGGCTAAGTAGGTGCACCCTACCAACAACAGGATAAACGCTGATGTGTTCATTCGTATCACGCCATTGAAAAACTAAAACAATGAATAACTTGTTTTAGACACATACATTAAAGAGTTGAAGTAGGCTACTTGGAGAGTTAGTTCAAAAGTAAACCTGTTGAAAACTTCCAGTAACTTCCAGGCAGAAACCCTTATGAAGTGTGCATCGCCTGCATCTGCAGCCCACTGTACTCTGGGTAATGGTTATCTATTCAGTTCGTTGGGTCTTTGAGGATGGAGGAACTTTAAAGGGAATCCTGGACACATGCACAAATATATATATATATATATTTTAAAGATACAACCTTTATTTAAAGAGTTCAAGTACTTGGAAATGTGGGTCCTGTTGAAAAGTATGATGCTGACGTTACAGTATGTACCAGACAGAGATTATTCTCATCGCCTGCATCTGCACAATAACATCCCCAGACTGTTTCTTTCCGAGTCAGTCGGTGTAACGGATATTTCTATTCAGTTCATTTCAACCACAACATCAGATCCATTCCCAGAGGACATGGAAGGATAGTCCCGGAGCTGAGCAGAAGACACACAACAAAATGGATTCCGCCCAAGCGACACCCTATTCCCTATATAGTGCACTACTTTAGACCAGAGAATGGCACCCTATTCCCTATATAGTGCATTACTTTAGACCAGAGAATGGCACCCTATTCCCTATGTAGTGCACTACTTTTGACCAGAGAATGGCACCCTATTCCCTATGTAGTGCACTACTTTAGACCAGAGAATGGCACCCTATTCCCTATGTAGTGCACTACTTTTGACCAGAGCCTGCAAGGGTAGTAGACTACTACAGACATCAGTCACAGGAAACTACTAATGGACCATGTGACCTGTGGAATAACTCACACCGATGACTTTGCTTATCCTTTATGAGGAACATTAAAACCCTGCAAATTCCATGATAATATCAAGCATGCTAGCAACCAGCAACACAATCTACTTCAACACATTATGTTACTGAGAAGAATTACAGAATGTAGCTTTAATAAACCCCTATCTGGCCTGTCTACCACAGTGTTCCCATAGAGATAGAACAGTGTTCCCATAGAGACAGAACAGTGTTCCCATAGAGACAGAACAGTGTTCCCATAGAGACAGAACAGTGTTCCCATAGAGACAGAACAGTATTCCCATAGAGACAGAACAGTGTTCCCATCAGTAGGTTTCCTCACCCACTACCTACTGAAACATTGGGCGTACTGTGGAATTCCTACTCATTCAGAAAAGACCAAAAGGAAAAGTTCCTCGGGAGGAGAGGAAGAGATGCAGGACAGACGGAGTCGAAGAGGAGTGGGCAGATAGAGAGGTAGAGGAGGTAGAGGAGGGAGGAGAGGAAGACATGCAGGAGAGACGGAGACGAAGAGGAGTGGGAAGATAGAGAGGTGGAGGAGGTAGAGGAGGGAGGAGAGGAAGACATGCAGGACAGAAGGAGACGAAGAGGAGTGGGCAGATAGAGAGGTAGAGGAGGTAGAGGAGAGAGGAGAGGAAGACATGCAGGAGAGACGGAGACGAAGAGGAGTGGGCAGATAGAGAGGTAGATGAGGGAGGAGAGTAGGAGGATGTGGAGGACAGGAAGAGGTGGCAAAGGGAGGAAGCAGTAGTACCCAGCAGGTATAGCAGGACAGGAAGGAGCTTCTGGTTCTGGTCAACCTACCATTACCTAGGCTGGCATTGCCAGGTGCAATACCGCCTGCAGCACCATCGGTGGCTATAGTTGCGATGGGGTGGACAGAGGGATGGGTGTGGTCTATAGTAGCAAGTAAATTATGGGTAAAAAAAAAAAGAAGGGCAACAGTGAACACGAATAACATGGTTAATAGCCTGGATAACAAGACCAGTAGTGTTGTTGCTGTAATTAGTTCACACTAGGATCGCAAAGAATCTGATAACTTTCCCAAAATTCCTCCAACCAGGATTTCTGGAAAACCAGGGAATTTTGGATAAGTGACCAGATTTTTGCCACCCTAGTTCACACACCGATGTTTAAAACGGAGAGGGCTGGAGGAAGGGTATCATACAGACAGAGAATTACAAACACAAATCAACATGAAACAGGTTCAACATCACAATAATGGATAAACTAAATGAAAGGAACAGGACAACAACATAATAATAAATGTCAAAGAGATGAATGTTTTACCAATTTCTTGAACGTAAACCTCTATCAGTTGGTTATCTATATCCAGCGTGGTTGTAACAATACGTAATCAATATGTAATCAATGTGTATTACAGGGCTAATCAATCAATACAATCAATCGATCTCAACCATGTTATTCATTTCGTGTCATTGAGCAGCAAACATAATCCTAACATAGCATGTGATTGGAACAGAACAAAGTGTATTGTGGTTAAACTGCTTTAATGTCAAATTCCATCACTGCAACAACGGCTGAAAGACATCCAGAGTTAGAGGAACACCGCCATTGGTGACATACTCAGTGGTGGAACTGGAGGGAATGCTTAACAACAGAATTTACAACATGAAAATTATATTTACATGTAGAAATTATGTTTTGAATGATGTTAAACTGTTAGGATTTTACACTGGGAGTTCCCAGAGTGATTGTTTTTCTTCCAACGCCACCCTGGTGCGTACTGCACTGTACACTTGACGTGCAACATTTCCTTTATAGGAGGGCGTAAGGAAGAGACAATTACATCAATAGAACGCCTCAAACCATACAGCAGTCTTCCGATCTTCAAGTCTACGCCTGCATCCCAAATGGTATCCTATTTCCCCTGTGTGTAGTGCACTACTTTTGACCAGAGCCCCTGTAAGAAATAGGGTGCCATTTGGGAACGTAGCCTATGTATTATGTAGTAGTCTGGAGGAGCTGCTCAGGACTAACTAACAGCATCAAAGAGGTGTTTCAGGAGCGGAGCAGTCGTCCCAAACGGGGACAGCCTGGCGTCACACAGATGATCAAAACAGTTTCATATCTTTCAAGTCTGTCTGGGGTGAATTGGTGAATGTTAAATCATTTATTGTGAAGTTACTATTACTATATAACTCAGAAGATCTCTTGGTGAATTTAACCAATCACAGGAGGCTTGGATCATGTTGAATTTAACCAATCACAGGCTTTGATTTGGGACAGTTGAAAGTGTATTGAGGACGGATGGGGGAGATATGGATGAGATGGGTTTTTTTCTTTCAATCCTTAAAGAGATGCAGTAACGTGCATGGTTATGCTCCTCTTGTTAAGGGAAGAATCGGAGGGACTGAAGCCGGGTTGGTGTTGATCAGGGACAGGTCAGGGGTCAGGGGTCAGGGTAGTTAGGGGGGGTTAAGTGTTGGTCCTGATGGGTATTGGGTACAGGGGGACTGGGGGACGGGACGAGGGTGGCTGGGGGTGACTAAGGTCACAAAGAGAGATACTCTACCTGTGTTCTGTTGACCATCCTCCACTTCCTCACCTGGTTTATAGAACAACAAGAGAGTAAGGAGAGGAGAGGCAACCAGAGCTTTAGTATAGAGCTGGCCACTTCCCACATCAGGCCACGCCTCCAGCAGCCAGTAGGCACATCGTATATACAGGTCATTGTGTCTGGAGTGTTTGTTTAGACAGAGGTCTTTTAGAGTAGCATCACCCTCCCAAAGAGATTCAAACCTATCCAGGATGGATACTTTACTTCATCAGTCTATAGTTGGAGCAGTTTAAGTAACATTTGAGAATAAAAAAAAATAGTAATAATAATAATAGTAATAATATATTAATATGATAATAATAATATTAATATTAATAATAATATAATAACAATAGCTATGCTATTATTAATAATAATATTAATATGATATTAATAATTTTAATAACATTAATAATAGCATTATTATTATTAATAATGATAATATAATAACAATCATCTTAATGTTATTATCACAATAATACTGATTTCAATAATAATAATATTAATAATAATGATATAAATAATACTAATATAATGATAATAATAATAATAATAATAATGCTATTAATAATAATAATAACATAATGATACTAATAATAATACTATTAATAATAATGATAATGGTGGGGCCAAGGAAAGGAAGAAGGGTTAGGGTTAATATTAGGGTAAGGGTTAAGGTAAGGGTAAGGGTTAATATTAGGGTAAGGGTTAATATTAGGGTTAAGGTAAGGGTAAGGGTAAGGGTTAGGGTTAGGGTTAATATTAGGGTTAGGGTTAGGGTAAGGGTAAGGTCGGGTAAGGGTTTAGGTGGTTCCCTCTTCGGGTTCGGGTTCCTATTCGGGTTAGGGTTCGGGTTGGGTGGGTACGGGTCCGGGTAAGGGTCCAGGTTCGGGTTAGGTCGGGTTAGGGTTAGGGTTACTCTTCGGGTTCGGGTTCCTCTTCGGGTTCGGGTTCGGGTCCGGTTGGGTTCGGGTTCATCGTCGGGTTCGCGTTGGGTTCCTCTTCGGGTTAGGTTCCGGTCCGGGTCCGGGTCCGGTTCGGGTTCGGGTTCTCTTCGGGTTCGGTTCGGTTGGGTTCCTCTTCGGTTCGGTTCGGGTTCGGGTTCGGGTTCCTGTTCGGGTCCGGGTTCGGGTTTCCTGTTAGGGTTTGGGTTGGGTTCCATGGTTTAGGGTTGGGGTTCGGGGTTCGGGGTTTGGGGTTCTCCTTTTCCCTTTCTTCTCCTTCTTCTCCTCCTCCCCGGCTTCTCCGGCCCCCAGCAGGGTGAAGATGATGCCAGTCTGAGAGTTGACCCCCACAGCTGTCACCAGCATCCTGCCTGAACCCTCCATCACATGGGTACCTGTAAACACACATACACACTCAAACAGACACGCACGCACACAAACACACACACACACACACACACACACACACAAACAGGGAGATTTTGAAACAGAGGGAGTTATGCATTGTATCCTGTATCAACATCTGATTGACTGTCATAGAGAAAATATACCTATATACCACACCCAAACGCACACACAGACACACACAGACACACAATTACTGTCAAGGATAACCAGTTGTCAGCTATGGACATGAGTATAAAGGGAGTACTTACATGATAGAGAGAGACAGAAAGAGAGCGAGAGAGTTAGAGAGAGAGTTACAGAGAGAGAGTTATAGTGGGAGAGAGTTACATGAAGAGAGAGAGAGAGAGAGAGAGGAGATAGAGAAGAGTTACAGAGAGAGAGAAAAAAAGCAGATAGTTAAAAGATTACAAAAAAGAGAGATTATCGAGAGAGAGAGTTACAAGAGAGAGAGAAGATCAGAAGAGAGAGAAA